GCATATCATAAATATCATCCACATATTGTTCTTCACGCTTTCTTTTATATCCTTCATTTAACCGATTTAAGCATAGTGAACAAGATTTTTTATTAGTTTCAAATAAATCAGCGGATTTGTTAGAATGACATGAAGAACAATACTTCAAAATAGGCTGCAAAAAATAATTAGATTCCATTTTTTTTTTTAGCGTAAAAAAATAAAACAAAAAAAAAAAATTTTTTTTCAAAAAATTTTTACGTATTATTAATCAATATAATCGATAATAAACATTTTTATTAATAATCAAAAATAGGTCGGCAAAAATTTAAACTCAGTTCGTAAATGATCTTGGTGGTTATGCTAGGTTCGTCCTCGGTTTGAGCATGAGGAGTTTAAATTTAATAATGAAAAATCATGTGACCACAAAAACTCGGGTTTAGGCCCAAACAGGAGCTGAACCGAGTTCGGGCAAGCAGGATAATATCCCTATTACATATGTATGGTACTTAAGGTTTTAACAACGAAGTGTTAAAGAGAAAAAAATCTTAACAATATAACAATAAAATTTGTTTAAATATTTAGATAGGTTTATTTTACACGGCTGAGTTGATTTAAAAGTTCAAAAGCCTGAAATCTAATTTTCTTTTAATATTATTCGAATACAAACTAAAAGCTATCACTTTGCTTATTGTTTTTGTACATTTTTTTTATATAAATCACATGCTATGCTTATTAGCCACACGCAAAATATTTGATTCATTAACATGTCTCATTCTTTTCAAAGTTTTAGAGGATTTGATCTTTGACTTCTCCAGGGTTTCATCAGAGTTTTGCTGTTTCGCCAAAGTTTCGCGGTTTCGTCATAGTTTCGCCAGTTTCGTCTTTCGCCATTTGTAAAAAATAGTTTCGCCTAACAACAGTAGATTATAGTAATATGCGCTTAACCTTAACCGCAAAGATATTTTGTTATGATGACAATTCGCGGAAGCATGAAATGATTATTTAGTAGCAGTATCTAATTTATGACCTTTAGGGATTATATAGTCTTTATTTAGTAAATGAGTTATTTAACCTAAAGGTTCTTGTTCTTTACAAAAGCAAAATTACAATGTTTTTTTAGCTTTCATTATTTTAAGAGGGTAAGGGGGGCTTTGACTACTTAGTTTTCTTTACTTACAGCCCAAGCTTATTGAACGGCACAATTTTATCTAAAGAAATCAACAATACGTTATTCTATAATATGTATGAGGCTTTATAATAAACGAAAGTTTCGTTCAATTATTCCATAAGGAGTTATAGCCGCTAAACATTACATTCTATTTCCATTCTTCAGTTTAATTCTTCATCACGAGCACCAGTTTTTCAGATGTTTAGAGTTTTACGCTTATTTACTATAATTCGGCCGACAAGCCGTAATCGAACTTTCACAGCTCGATCATAGTGGCGTCAATTCTGTAATATCACGAGAAAATTTATGTTCGACCGGGAGAAAATTTATGTTCGACCGGGTTGTACAATGATTTGGGCAAAGCCACGTTGTTGCAGACTTTTGTGTTTTAATTATATAGATAATAATTTGTACTACATTCACATAAGTAATTGGAGATTGAAGTGGTATGTTCATTAACGATTCAACTATATGAGCTAGGTGCTTCAAACAAGAGGGAAAATGAAATTTTACTAATTCAAAATTAACATAGGAATCATTTTGCTTACAGTATTGTCGCGGAATAACGGCATGGGAGTTATTAGAAAATCGTACTCTATGAAATTAGCATAGATGATTTCAAAATAACGCCCATGCGTGTCCCGAAATAATGCGCACCCCGTATAGGGTGTAGAGTTGCAGACGAAATTGGTAAAATAAATATACTAGTCAATAAGAAACTCGAGTTGAAACTATCAGTTTTACCCAGTGATGTAAATTGGATCCGCACAGTAGGCGTAGCGTACTTACTATCGTATTGGGAGAGCTTATAGAGCTAACGGCACAATTTGGCTCCAATAGTTAGCTTAGATGTTCTTTGTATTATGGTAAGGGCAATGAAATAAATAATACAATCGGTTATAGTAATATCTTGTGCACGTGAAGTCACGTAATTGATCCGAGATCGGGCATTTAATTATATCTATCAGTAATCGGTTAATTTAATATGATCAGAACAGTTTACCCTATAAAAAAATTGGTCGGGATGGAGTAGATTTTCCGAACATACTGCATACTGTACTGATTTTGTACAATGTTTATGCCTAATGTTGTCAACCAAAAAATTTCTCTTTTTTTATATCACAGTATAAAAAACCGGAAAATCGATTCCATTCCGAACATTTTTTCGGACAATGCCTACAAAAACTTTTTTATAGGATTATACGTAATATAAATGGCGTAACGCATACCGAAAATGTGTACAAGGTTGGCGGCGCAGCTCTCCTAAACTACGAATCAGATTTCAAGGTTAGGTGTAACGTAACATGATCAGGAAGATTCAAAACAAACGTTCGTTCTGCCAAAAATCGCCCATAGCTCAAAAATCAGCATAAGAAACCACCTTTTGTGCTCTAACAAAAAGTTTTCGTTGGACAATTTTACTATAAAAAATACTTTTCTCAAGATCCAAACCCTGACCCTAATCCTAACCTTACCGAATTTTAAGAATTTTATCTGCTGACGTAACAGTGTAACGCAGATCATTTGTATATTTGTGTAAAATTTTTAAATGATTGACGCACATTAATTTGCTTTCTGGGCTTATTTAACAGTAAAGAAGTTGTCAGTATAATTTCTAGGTATAATTTTGTAAATTCTCTGGCATTTGAAGGTTCTTTCCATGACATTTCAAGGGTGATTAAAAATAAACCCCAAAAGAATCTTGATCACGAAGTTAGCCAATTTTTTTACGATTTTTACTATTTGATACTGCATAAATTGCATTCTTGATATCTATATAACCCACTAACCATAACTGCATCAAAAAAAATAATCCTAAATGGTACCTGGCTTAACGTTCCCCATTT